CGGCGGTTGGAGACGGGCAGTGGGGAGCGGCGGCGGCGGCGGCGGGCACAGACCTCCTGGGTTCTTTCCCTGGGGGTGGGAGGGTCCAGTGGTTAGAGCAGAGCAAGGGCGGGGCTGGCTGCCCGGACTCCTGGGTTCTCTCTCCCCAGCTTTGGAGGCGGGTTTAGAACCGGGGGGTTGGGAGCCTGGACGCCTGCGTTCTGCCCCAGCCTGGGCTGGATAAGGGGAACTGGAGGAGGAAGCCCCGGGCGAAGAGGAAGCCGAGCTGCCCCGGAGCCCCGCGAGCGGTGGGGGTAGGGCGGTACCGCCCGCAACAGCTCCTGGGGGGGCGACCCCCCGCAAAGCTGCGAGCTGGTCGACACTAATGGAGCCGGGAAACGGCGACCGAGCTGGGGCAGAATCCAGGCGTCGGGGCTCCCCGCTAAGCCCCCAAAACCTAACCTGCTCCCGCCCCCTCCCCACTTTAACCCCGTACCCACTCTCTCCTCCCAGAGCCGGGAGAAAGCCCAGGCGTCCTGGCTCCAACCCCCACTTCTCTAACCACCCCCCCAGCTAGGACACAACCATGGGGGGGGCCCAGCTCCTGCCCCGCCCCCTCAAACCGCATCCTCCATCCTGGCACTGGCGGGGGGGCAGGTTTGAAGGAGGTGGGGCGCCCCAGAGCCTGGCCCTGTAGGGGGACCTGAGCTCGCCCCCAGTGGCCCTCTTCCCCCCCGCCCTCGGGTCCCAGCACAAGACGTGCCTCCTGGCCTGGTGCCCGCGGTGCCTCCTGCCCATCGCCCTGAGGCTCCTCCAGGAGCTCTGGCTGGGGCACTAGAGGCTGTAATCTGGGGCTTCTGGGGGGTGCTGGCCCCCACCCCGCCATCCACTAAGCACTGCGGTCCCTTGCACCCCCTGGTGGCAGCGCCTACCTGCCATGAAGCCACTCTCCATGGAGCCCGGCTGGGTTGGTGGCTCTAGGCTGGACACCCTTGAGATTGGAGCCCGAGTCAGATTCGCTCCCTGGCTTCACCCCAAGAGTTGCCCACCAAACACCACTCACCCCTTGTGCACCCCAGAGCAGGCTGAGCAGACAGGTAAGCCATGCCCAGGATACTCTGGTGCCAGGCCTGGATGCAGCCAGTGCTCTTTCTCCTGGGCCCTGAGACCCTGGGATGTGGGGAGAGGGAGCCTGGCTCAGCCCCATGCTAGCACCACTGCCCCACACACTTGCTCTCCCCGGGAAGGAGACATCCCTGTGCCCCCAGCCTGGCATGTGCCTGGTGCCTGTGGAAGCTTGGGCTGAGCCACCTACACCCCCAGCCAGGCACCACCTGCCCCCACCATCCCTGGCCCTAGGGGCAACAGCACCCCCACAATACCCTGATGAGCACCCCTGGTACATGGTCCAGGCCACATGGAATTCACTGCCCTCGGCTGTGATGGAGGCCTGGACCCCCAGAGCAGGCCTGACCCCTGCTGTGGCCCCCAACCAACCCCCACATTTCTGTCATCTCAAGCAGACACTGCTGGAGTCTTCCTAGCTTTGAGGCATCCCTGCTGGGCAGGTGGGTGCCTTGGCTGCCTCTTCTCCAACTCTTGGGAGCCAGTAAGTTGTTGCAACATGATCCCTCCTGTCCCCTTCCAGACCCAACTGCCACCCCCCC